GGTCATAGTGGATGGCTTTGCTGCAATGGGATTCCCTAACTGTGGTGGGGCTATAGACGGAACCCATATCCCTATCTTGGCACCGGAGCACCAAGCCGCCGAGTACATAAACCGCAAGGGGTACTTTTCGATAGTGCTGCAAGCTCTGGTGGATCACAAGGGACGTTTCACCAACATCAACGTGGGATGGCCGGGAAAGGTGCATGATGCTCGCATCTTCAGGAACTCTGGTCTGTTTCAAAAGCTGCAGGAAGGGACTTTATTCCCAGACCAGAAAATAACTGTTGGGGATGTTGAAATGCCTATATGTATCCTTGGGGACCCAGCCTACCCCTTAATGCCATGGCTCATGAAGCCGTACACAGGCAGCCTGGACAGTAGTCAGGAGCTGTTCAACTACAGGCTGAGCAAGTGCAGAATGGTGGTAGAATGTGCATTTGGACGTTTAAAGGCGCGCTGGCGCAGTTTACTGACTCGCTTAGACCTCAGCGAAACCAATATTCCCACTGTTATTACTGCTTGCTGTGTGCTCCACAATATCTGTGAGAGTAAGGGGGAGACGTTTATGGCGGGGTGGGAGGTTGAGGCAAATCGCCTAGCTGCTGGTTACGCGCAGCCAGACACCAGGGCGGTTAGAAGAGCACAGGAGGGTGCGGTACGCATCAGAGAAGCTTTGAAAACCAGTTTCATGACTGGCCAGGCTACGGTGTGAAAGTTCTGTTTGTTTCTCCTTGATGAAACCCCCCGCCCCTTGGTTCACTCTACTTCCCTGTAAGCTAACCACCCGCCCCTCCTCCCTTTAATCATTGCTTGCAGAGGCAATAAAGTCATTGCTGCTTCACAGTCATGCATTCGTTATTCATTCATCACACAAACAGGGAGATGACTACCAAGGTATCCCAGGAGGGGTGGTGGAGGAGGGAAGGAAAATGCCACACAGCACTTTAAGCACAGCACTTTAAAAGTTTACAACTTTAAAATTTATTGAATGACAGCCTTCTTTTTTTTGGGCAATCCTCTGTGGTGGAGTGGCTGGTTGGCCGGAGGCCCCCACACCGCGTTCTTGGGCGTCTGGGTGTGGAGGCTATGGAACTTGGGGAGGAGGGCGGTTGGTTACAGAGGGGCAGCAGTGGCAATCTGTGCTCAAGCTGCCTTTGCTGCAGCTCAACCATACACTGGAGCATACTGGTTTGGTCCTGCAGCAGCCTCAGCATTGAATCCTGCCTCCTCTCATCACGCTGCCGCCACATTTGAGCTTCAGCCCTGTCTTCAGCCTGCCACTTACTCTCTTCAGCCCGCCACTTACTCTCTTCAGCCCGCCACTTACTCTCTTCAGCCCGCCACCTCTCCTCCCAGTCATTTTGTGCTTTCCTGCACTCTGACATTATTTGCCTCCACGCATTCGTCTGTGCTCTGTCAGTGTGGGAGGACAGCATGAGCTCGGAGAACATTTCATCGCGAGTGCGTTTTTTTTTCTTTCTAAGCTTCACTAGCCTCTGGGAAGGAGAAGATCCTGTGATCATTGAAACACATGCAGCTGGTGGAGAAAAAAAAAGGGACAGCGGTATTTAAAAAGACACATTTTATAAAACAGTCGCTACACTCTTTCAGGGTAAACCTTGCTGTTAACATTACATACATAGCACATGTGCTTTCGTTACAAGGTCGCATTTTGCCTCCTCCCACCGCGTGACTACCCCCTCAACCTTCTCCCCTCCCTGTGGCTAACAGCGGGGAACATTTCTGTTTAGCCACAGGCAAACAGCCCAGCAGGAATGGGCTCCTCTGAGTGTCCCCTGAAGAAAAGCACTCTATTTCAACCAGGTGACCATGAATTATATCTCACTCTCCTGAGGATAACACAGAGAGATAAAGAACGGATTTTGGTTGAATGCCAGCAAACATACACTGCAATGCTTTGTTCTACAGTGATTCCCGAGTACGTGTTACTGGCCTGGAGTGGTAAAGTGTCCTACCATGAAGGACGAAATAAGGCTGCCCTCCCCAGAAACCTTTTGCAAAGGCTTTAGGACTACATCTAGGAGAACCGCAAATGCCAGGGCAAAGTAATCCTTTCACATGCTTGCTTTTAAACCATGTATAGCATTTTAAAAGGTACACTCACCAGAGGTCCCTTCTCCGCCTGCTGGGTCCAGGAGGCAGCCTTGGGTGGGTTCAGGGGGTGCTGGCTCCAGGTCTAGGGTGAGAAACAGTTCCTGGCTGTCGGCAAAACCGGTTTCTCCGCTTGCTTGCTGTGAGCTATCTACAACCTCCTCCTCATCATCATCTTCTTCGTCCCCAAAACCTACTTCCGTATTGCCTCCATCTCCATTGAAGGAGTCAAACAACACGGCTGGGGTAGTGGTGGCTGAACCCCCTAAAATGGCATGCAGCTCATCATAGAAGCGGCATGTTTGGGGCTCTGACCCAGAGCGGCTGTTCGCCTCTCTGGTTTTCTGGTAGGGTTGCCTCAGCTCCTTCAGTTTCACGCGGCACTGCTTCGGGTCCCTGTTATGGCCTCTGTCCTTCATGCCCTGGGAGATTTTCACAAAGGTTTTGGCATTTCGAAAACTGGAACGGAGTTCTGATAGCACGGATTCCTCTCCCCAAACAGCGATCAGATCCCGTACCTCCCGTTCGGTCCATGCTGGAGCTCTTTTGAGATTCTGGGACTCCATCATGGTCACCTGTGCTGATGAGCTCTGCATGGTCACCTGCAGCTTGCCACGCTGGCCAAACAGGAAATGAGATTCAAAAGTTCGCGGTTCTTTTCCTGTCTACCTGGCCAGTGCATCTGAGTTGAGAGTGCTGTCCAGAGCGGTCAGAATGGAGCACTCTGGGATAGCTCCCGGAGGCCAATACCATCGAATTGTGTCCACAGTACCCCAAATTCGAGCTGGCAACGTCGATTTAAGCGCTAATCCACTTGTCAGGGGTGGAGTAAGGAAATCGATTTTAAGAGCCCTTTAAGTCGAAATAAAGGGCTTCATTGTGTGGACGGGTGCAGGTTTAAATCGATTTAACGCTGCTAAATTCGACCTAAAGTCCTAGTGTAGACCAGGGCTCAGTGGTACTTGTGAAGTGAAGATATTGCCCCAAACAGTGCTGATTGACTGAGATGATAATGTGACTTTTAAAATGCTAGAGGACTGGGGCAGGGAGGGAGGGAAGACAGTGGAGGCTAATTCAGTTACTTGGAAAAACGGCTTGATTTTCAAACGTGTTGAACATTCAGAACTCCAACTGAAATCAATGGGATTTAAGATAGTCTGCCATTTCCAATCCAATATTTATTATGTGTACTTTGGTAGCACCGAGAGGCCCTGATCTGCTAGGGGCAGTACAAACAGGGAATATAGACATGATCCCTGCTCTAAGGAAGAAATACTCAGTTCATCAATGCAACTTATTAAATATAATATGAAGTGAATTAATGTTTTCTCCATGATTTTTTTGTTTTTAAACACAAGAATTCAGAGGTCCATTTTTTAATAGTTGTGTTTCTTTTTTAACATGAATATTTTTTTCAAATCAAGTCACTAATGCCTATGTAAATACATCCCTTGTTAATTAGCAATTACTTACAAAACTTGACTAATAATGAAAATAGATATGCAAAATCACAGTAAAAAGAAAAGAAGAGAAAGCAGTTATCACCGTCATTAACCCCAATATATCTTCCAAGTAAATGACACCTGTGCAATGTATTAGGTTTATATGAAATTTGCCCACTTGACATGCCAAGTAAAGGGAGAAACTAAAAGGAGTTGGTGATGGGGAAATGGTTAGGAAAAATGAGGAAGCAGAATAAAGGCTGGAAAAATCTTGAGATATACAAATTGTCCCTGGAAATAAATGTGGACACTGATATTTTCTGACAGTAAGAATACAACAATCAAATATTTTATAAGTAAGAAAAATGTAAAAGCTATTTCACAGGGAAAGAATGACTTTCAGATCTTGGCTGGTTTAGACACAACAAATCCTGCATTTTGGCAAGGGGTTAGACTAGATGATCCTTGCGGTCCCTTCTAACCCTATGATCAATAGTTTGGATGTCCAGTGTAAAACCAAATTCATGTCAGATAGAAACTTTAATAACAAAGCTGAAAGCAGTTAATTTGTGTAATATTGCTATTGTCCCACTATGAAGACAAAACTAAAAGTGGGCCAAGCAGATCTGTCCTTGAGCAAAGTCAGTATCTTTAAACAACCAGAAATCTTTATAATACAGGATTTCTAAAATCCTCTGGCTCAGAGATGTTTTCAGTTTAAATTTTCTTTCACCTCATGTTCTCCCCTGCCAAAATTCTGTGTTTTTTTCCTGCCCAAATTCTGTAATCTTCTGATAGCTGCATTTATGGCCTTGGGCAAGTGTTTAGCCTCTTTAAAATTTAGATTCAATGCCACACCATGAATTGACTAACTGAAGCAGGACACTGGGCCCAGTTCAGAGGGGAGTGTGTAACCTAGATCATTTCCCCCTTTCCCATGTCAGTTATACCAATGTACACTCTTATGTTCACATTCACTTTTTAATCTAAATGAGTCTAAGTTGGTGTAACTAACATGATGAAGGGCCAAGAAGAAGATTCAAGGTACATTAGTTCACACTCAGTGGAACCTTTGAATTTGAATGATTGATTGCATCATCTCTATTTGGTCTATATTGGCTGGGTAGCAGGAATGCCAATTTCATATTCAAAGCTGCGGTTCCACTAAATAACTATGTCCTGTTCCTGGGTTACTGTACCAGTACAACCTATTCTTATTTATGTTTCTTATTTAAAATAAGAGTGTTTAACATATTACAAAATATGGGATAAATAACTTCAACATTAGAACCAACAGAGACAGAATACAGATTAATTCAAGCCTATCTGGGTATCTGCATATGCAGCAGGCAGGGGTGACAGATTCTATATCGATAACAATTTCCTTCTTTCCATTTTGCACATTTATATTGCTGTCTCGATGTAGCACTTACGAAACAATCTTACCTGCAGATTTGCACATGCTGGTAAATCATTGTGGGTGGATATTTCATTGTTGGTGCTCTCTGAACCCACGTTTTTAAATCTGGAAGCTGTCGTAGTTGTCAGTGTGGTGGTTTGTACTGGTAGGATTGGCTGCCACACAGTCACATCTGTGCCATTGCCGAAGGCTTGAATTGCATTTTCTGTAGAAAACAAGTATAGAGAAAATTCTGCATATAAACCAATGCCACAAACAGCAGAATTGGCATTAAAAATAACCTGATGCCATAGAACAGAAATAACTCCAAAAATGCTCTCCCATGCAAAATCTTGTCCTTGTTTGTTCAAACTCACGTATTTATATTGAAAAGCTAGTTTCAATTTATTTTGAATACATGTCAGAAATGTGAATTTTGGGGCCACAGGTTTATCTACTGCTAAATTCTCCCTGAAATATTTTCAGCCATTCTTTATGGAAGCTCAAAACCCTAAATCTTCTGTGAGCAAATTAGCATTCAAAAGCTTCAAAAAACTTAACTGGTGAGACTTAAAGTACAATATGTATGTTGTGTCCTAATTCTGATAAATTATGTTATGCAACAAGCCAAACATAAATAGCAAGCAATATATTGACTTATTTCCACAGCTTGCTTTTAAAACCAATGTTCCCATAAACAAGGGACTGTTTAACTAAGATGACCAGTTTCCAAACAAAATCTACAAAACAAAGTGAGAGAAGTGTGTTTAAACTAAAAGTTTAGAATATAAAGGTTAGAAAGTTTATCAATTTCATGGGATTAAAGAGTGTGTTTATGGCAAGGGTAAATTGGTTGTGTGGGGTTTTTTTTAATACAAATGAATAGAAAAACAGTTTTTAATCAGGTCCTTGGGGATTCAGCATGGATTTAGGGATTTCTTATTCCACCTCACTGTATAAGAAACCAAACAATTTCACATGGGACTTGAATGGGGAAGTTATTAACAATACTCTTCACTGGCATCCATCTCACTATAAAATAATTTACATTTAGCCCTCATCTTAGAAAGATGCAGTTTATTCTAGAATCTGATCTTAGCGTTCCACCAAACAGAGATTGATTCATAAAAAAGGCATTACAATTGGTTGGATTGATGGGGGGCAAAGTGAGAATAGTACAAAAGGATTTTCCTGTCCAGTATTCTCTCTTAAACAAGGTAAGCTGCAGTATTTTTCACACAGTAAATGTCATAGGAGACCAGACAATTACCTAAAGTAAGTAGTGCACCAGCTTCTTGTTTTCAGTGCTGTAGGAGAAGCTACAGGAGAATATGGAGGCACCCTCTAGTTTTTAAAATAAAATTACTCTTATAATTTAAAATAAAATTATAATTCTTATAATTACTCTTATAACTCTCTCTTTTCTTTTTTCCTCCTTCTGTGTATCTATGTTTTTGTAACAATGTGCATGAATTTTATAACTATAACATAGCAGACGAACATAATAAGAGTAAGATGCCACGGCAAACGCTTAACTGCTCTAGTAGTTGGCTGACTGTTTCAATCATCTGTATTAACTCACTTTTGCTCTGTCTTTTCCCCTTGCTTACCAGTTCTTCCCCTCTACTCCACTATCTGGTATGTATGCCCAAACCCTCCAAAACACTTATACCCCTGGGTAACCTGAGTCCCATTCAACCCAGTGCAATTATCCAGTGCACAAGTGTATGCAGGATCAAGGTCATAGTATGCAGAATAAGCAACACTGTGTGTATTAGAAGAACATTTAAAATATTAATAAAAATAAAGTTTAATAAAGGACTTTAGGATTTGAAATGGGCCAACCTCTTTTTAAAGGTGCCACAGTTGGGAGTTATAACAGAATTAAAGGAATACTGGTTGGGATTTCAAAATGTACTATCATTTAGGCCTTAGAAATGTGGGATTCTGGCTTTTTAAAGGCTGGCCATTTTCAGGTAAGGCCCAGATTCTGCAAACACACATGCACTTTACTTTACACATGTGAGTATTTCTTTTTACTTCAGCAGGGCTACTCACATTCATACAGTTATGCATGTGGTGTTTGAAGGACCAGGACCTATAATTCTTCATTTTCCAACAGCAGAATACATGTAAATAATACTATACTTAAAAATTAAAACTGATTTCTTTAGTCTCTGTTCTGAAACAAATGCTTTTTTCTCCCATGTTGAAAGGCCATTTATGAAAAGACACGAGAACACTTTTTCTCCCTCTGTGAAATGCTACTAAACCAGGAACACCTTTAATTTAAATTTTTTTCACAAAGAAGAGGTTTCCCTGTGAGGGTAAGTATAATTTTTCTCATAGTGACCTCTAATGTCACTGCTTTATTGTCATTAAACTTTTTATTCCAGCAGGGACAAAGGGATTGGTGTACACTTAAAGTCTAAAAGGAACTTGTAAAATGATAGTAATGACTAATGAACACACTTACAAATTAGCAAAATATGAAATGTTATAAAATATGAAATGTTATATGTGTGAGAGGCAGCTTGGAGAAAGTATGGATGCTATACAGTTCCCCTGTCTCGATTAGAATCCCACTTGGAATTGATTGCTTAACCAATGATCTACATTAACCTTTCCTGACTAGCAATCCTTCCAAGGCTTTTAACAAATAGGGCTCAACCCTGTCATCGTTCTGCACACAGAACTGATGCTTAATGGAAGTATTTCATGTTGAGAGACTGTTGGGTAGAGGCAAAAGATAAAAATGGTCTTAGGGCAGTCAACACCTTTGATGGTGTGTAGAGTACTAACACTACATGCCCAGCTAGAATAGGTATAAATAACAGTGTATGCAATGAGGCACTGCTTAAGTGAGTAGCGTAGAGTACCCAGTGAATAGAGCAGAGTGCCCTATACATCTGAACACAAGGGTATACATCTTACACAGCTCTCCATATGTTCAAGCAGAGCCTCACTCATCCACACTGCTATTTTTAGCACTGTAGTGTCCTGCTGCCTTCCCATCTCTAGAGCCTTTTCCCACTGCACTGAAAGAAGCAAGCAGTGGTGAAAGGCTCTGACGGGTGTAATACAGGTGGGGAAAGGCTCTGGCAGTGGGGAGCTTTTGGAGCTTTTCACTGAGGCATGTAGCTACACATACCCTACAAACCACTGCAAGATTCTTAGAGACAAGGTCTTAGAGAAGTGCAAGGTCTCTGATAGCCCAGTGATGGAATTTCACTATCACTCCCCTATCCCCAACTAGAGAATGCCCTACTTCAGACCCACTGCTAATATAACTTTCTGGGTTTTTTTTTTAAAAGAGGTGACCAAGTTTGTGTGCTGTATGACTCCCCTGACTACCTTAAATATTGTATTGCCCTACATCAGCAATAAACCGTTTCTCTGAAATTCTGGTGTGCGCTCCCTATCATTGAGTTATAAGTGTGTTGGCAAAAGGAAGTTTGGAAAGGAAGTCTACCAAAACTGACTTCTCAGAGGCCCTCAACTGGAAGTAAGTTGGGCTATTAAAACCATAACATAACAATCTCAATTAAATTGCTGTATCAGGATCTCATTGTGAAAAAAATCATTTGAGAGAAGTTTGTGACCAAATTTCAAGTATCTGAGAGAGTACTGATAATAAAATCCCAATTCATGTATATCTGTATAAAACCCTTTTAGCCTATTTCTCACACTATACACAAGCCACTTAGATCTTGCAATTTTCTGGTAGAGACCTTCCTTGATGGCCACCCAAAATATAATCTGTTGGTAGATGAATTTTTCCACATTATGTACCACTATTATTTGGAATTATCTCCCACAGTTTCTCATGTTTACAAGCTTGAACATCAGGTAGATTTGCTCAACTACCTTTAGTTCTAGTTTCTAAACCTACTACATATCCAATCTATCAAAATGCATAGAAGTGGCCTTGAAGTATCACAATGTACTTAAAAACTAGGTGAAACAATCCCATACAGCACATGTTGCAACATGAATAAATGTATGTTTGAAGACATTTTATAATATTGTACTCACTAAGGCATGTATTGTCCTGGAAGAAATTCAGAAATTTCAAGCATTCTTCTATGTCGTTACCGCTGTTGCTGCAGTCACACCATGGGGCAACACTGAGACTGTTGGAGTCTATGTAGTTTGGTGTCATAACTGTGCCTATTAACAAAGAGCAACACACTGTACCATCAGTAATCTTTGTAATGTCCTACCCTTATATATATTACCCAAAGAAGTGACAAACATCATCTAGTGGAAGACAGAAACAGGGATGGATTAATATTAACACTAACACATAAACACTATAGGCCTGGTGCATAAGGCCCTAGCTCTCAGAATCATGTGTGGAGTGCAGAATCTCAGCTTTCATTTTTTTTTTATTTTTAAAAAAAGATTCTAGCTGGTATGGTTGTGAAGAAATGTGTGAAAACTTGACTGTAGTGTAATTGATGCTGAGATGTCCTCATGAGTTTGCAGACAGTCTGAAACAATAACTATGAGAGATCTGAACTTCCTCATACATCTCAATGGGGTGCTAACACCAAGACTCCACTGTTCTGAAAGGTTCTGCCCACAGTGTGGTAGGAGAGGAACACAGAAACAATATAATTAATCTTCATAACTAGCTAGAATTTATTTCCTGCAGCTTTCAATTTACTAATAACTCTGCTTTTAGTGTCAATGCCATTAGTGACTTGGATACTGTAGTGGGGTGTATGTTTATAAAAATCTGAGGATGATACCAAACTGGCCAAGGTAGCTAGTACTTTGGAGGACAGAATCAGAATTCACAATGACATTGACAAATTGGAAAATTGGTCTGAAATCAACAAGAGGAAATCTAATAAAAAGACAATTGCAAAGTACTATACTTAGGAAGGATAAATCAAATGGACAACTATTAAATGGGGAATCACTGGCTAAATGGTAGTACTCCTGAAAAAGAGCTGGATTATAGTGGATCACAAATTGAACACGAGTCAACAGTGTGATGGAGTTGCAAAACAGGCTAATATAATTCTGGGGTGTAGTAATAGGAGTGTTGCATATACAACACGAGAGCCAACTGTCCCACTCTACTCAGCACTGGTGAGGTCTCAGCTGGAGTACTGTGTCCAGATCCTGGTGTCATATTCTAAGAAAGATGTGCACAAGTATTAGAGAGTCCAGGGGAGAGAATCAAAAATGATGAAAGGTTTAGAAAATCTGACCTATGAGGAAAGATAAAACTGTGCATGTTTAGTGTTGAAAAAAGAAAGACTGAGCAGGGAACCTAATAACAGTCTGACATGTTATTGACATAAGCTGGGACCGTATAGATCATTGTTGCAACCAAAGTCCTGTAGTGGCACCAAATCTTGTATAAAGGGGGTCAAATGAGGTGTCTAAGACAAGGTTATGGTTTGCTGATTATGATTATGTTGTCTATATGTGTGTATCATTTTTGTAGTTAAAGTTATGAATATTGGCTCTGTACTGTCTGTATTTCAAACTTGTGCTATGCTTCTGGGGAACACTCCAGACAAGTTGGTGTCAGCTCTGCCCAGCCTGCTTGATGGCCCATTAAGGACCATCAGCTATACAACTGACCCATTGAGAGAAGGCAGACACGCCTTGCGACTCAGCAGGTATGCAGGGACATGCCAATGGACAGAACTCTGAGATTTTTCCATGCCATGTGATGGACAGCTTGTCTTTGGAACAAAGAAAGAAAGACCACATGGCTAAAGAATATAAAAAAACTGCTGCAGCTCCTCCATCTGGTCTTAAGTCCTGCTTCTTACCTCTGGAGGAATTTTGCTACACTGAAGCTTTGAACGAAGGACTGTTGACCCATCCCAGCTGTGGATATACTCTAGAGACTTGATTTGAACCTGCAGTTTATTCTATCAGTGCTGCAAGCCTGAACCAAGAACTTTGCCAGCACTGTATGTAATTGATTCCATTTAACCAATTCTTGCTCTCATATATATCTTTTTCCTTTTATGAATAAACCTTTAGATTTTAGATTCTAAAGGATTGGCAACAGCGTGATTTGTGGATAAGATCTGATTTGTATATTGACCTGGGTCTGGGGCTTGGTCCTTTGGGATTGAGAGAGCCTTTTTTCTTTTACTGGGGTATTGGTTTTCATGACCATTTGTCCCCATAACGAGTGGCACTGGTGATAATACTGGGAAACTGGAGTGTCTAAGGGAATTGTTTGTGTGACTTGTGGTTAGCCAGTAGGGTAGAACCAAAGTCTTCTCTGTTTGACTGGTTTGGTTTGCCTTGGTGTGCATAGAAACCCCAGCCTTGGCCTGTAACTGCCCTGCTTGAAGCAATTTGTCCTGAATTGGCACTCTCAGTTGGGTCCCAACAGAACCAGCATCGTTACACAGTCCTAAAATATGTTAAGGGCTATTATAAAGGCCAGTGATCAATTGTTCTCCAGGTCCACTGAAGATAGGACAAGAAGTTATTAATAACTCTGCAGCAAGGCAGATTTAGGTTAGCTATTAGGAAAACCTTTCTAACCATAAGAATAGTTAAGCACTGGACTAGGCTTCCAAAGGAGATTGTTGAATCCCCATAATTGGAGGTTTTTAGGAACAAGTTGGACAAAACACCTGTCAGGGATGGTCTAGCTATATTTGGTCCTGCCTCAGGGCAAGGGGCTGGACCAAATGACCTCTTGAGCAGCCCTAAATGTCTATGTTTTTATGACTGCATTTCTTAAACATTGCCAACAACCTATGATCATGTATCTGTGCTTCCATTTTAATTTTTTTTTGCACAAATTATTGGATAAGTATTCTAATATTTACATTTCAGGCTCAGGTAAAGCAACAACTAAACCAAAATAAAGAATGCATTACATGTCCTAAAGGAAACACTGAAAATGCCCTCCATTGATCTAGATTATGCAGCCCTTATTAATTTTGGTGAGCACTTAGTTAAATGAGTAGACTCATTGAAGTCATTCCCAGTCTAAGTAAGCATTCACAAACTTGAGTAAGGGTTGACCAATCATCCCCTTAATTATTTTAAATGGCTCATTCTTCAAGTATTTTTAAAAGTTTATATTCCCCTTCTGCTTTTAGTGAACTTGGTGTAAATCTGAAATAACTCCATTGATTCCAACCCCAAAAGTCAACAGAATTACTTTAGAATTGCACTAATGAGGGCAGCTGTTGGCTGAATAAGTTTTTCAGCACCTACATTTCACACCCAGTAGCCTGGAGATTTAGGGCAAACTTCTCTCTGCTCCCAACTAGAGCAAATGTATTGTCAGTGGTAGCCGGGCATGTGGAATGGATGAAGATACATATTAGAGACCCACAGTGCAGATTGAAAGAGCCAACTTGGTCCATAGAGCCTAGAATTTATAATCCTCAAAAAAAAAGGGGGGCTGCCAAATACCACATCAATGTGTGCAGCACTATGTGAGTGCCTTTCAGTCACTCAGACATTGACAGGAATATTTAAATTGTTTCACAAATGAAATGGAAGACAAAGAAAAACAAACATTATAAGCGGTCTTAAAGAAATCCTGAAAGTTATGCAGAACTGAAGTTAGCTGCAAATGATAAGACTCACCCCCCCACCTTCTTTTTGAAGTTGAATGCAATCACTTTATCTACTCTCAATTTGTAACTAAAAGTTGTAGTGATAATTACCCAATGTCTACATAAAATCAGCATATGTGTAAGAAGAACCGTTCAAATTTTTTATGAAATGAAGGTGGGGAATAGAGCAAAATCAGCAAATATCACTTGCACTATTTATGAAAATGTAACAGTAGATAAATAAGAATAGGAATGTTATTAAATTAAAATAAAGCAATGAAAAATATCTACCCATTATTTCTTTGATGATTTCAGCCCACTGTTTCAAATATGTGATATTTATGATCCGGAAAGAAGAAAGTAATGTAGAGAGAATATGAAAAACCAGAGTTTTTTAATGGAAAGAAAATAGACGAGTATCAGAAAAACTGATGATAAAAATACTTGATAAAGAAATAGAAACAATAGGGTATGAAGGAAGTTGGAAGGGCCACTAAGGTAAGACTTTCAAGAAGAAGAGGTAATAAGGCCATAAAAGTGGGTGTAAAGAGCAGGTGAAAGTGTAAAATGTGACAAGCTATGATCAGAGTCAGTGACTATAGGAAAAACAGGATGAGGAAGGTATACATACAGCATATACACTGTATATACTGGAAAAAACAGAGTGGCTGAAAAAGCAGCTAGCAGAAAATAAGTCTGTCATTCAAACCTGAGGGCAGATGTGAACCCAAGTAGATTATATGTTTGGTTTCCTGGGGTGGATTCCTTTATCCCCCGTGTGTGTGGAATTTTTTCTTTGTTGTAAGATGGCCTCTTGAAAATTCTGCTAAGGACATTAAGCAAGCAGGGTAATCATGGCAGTTGGGAGTAAAATAGGTCATAATAGCTCTGTTGTGGTCACTATTTCCAATTGTTGTATCATGTTATTTGGAGCAGGCATCAAAGTCATGCATTAGGCAGAGGCAAAACTGGCCTGAACCTCAGCATATCTTCCAGCTCGAATCAGAATATCTTTTAAGAATGAAAAAAAGTTTAACTAAGTTCCTCCAACCAAGGTGTGACCCTGAACATGTGAAATTTGACTACAGGAATTGGCCCAGGCTTAGCAGAGATTGTTAAAATTGCTAAGCACGTATGCTTTACAACAGGACTGTCAGCAAGGTAGAAGGAAGAGAAGCTCAGCAAGAATGCAGAATGACAGGAGTCATTGGGCCCAGGCCAAAAGATCAGCTAATTGTAACAAGATCCAGAATTACGTGCTTGTGACTTCAGGCTCTCCTGTATACACACACTACTGCAACAATATCTGCACAAAATATGCCTTGTGAGGGATCATACGAAAGCTAACAACATGCTGGTTATTAATATCATTGTAAAATGCATGTGTTAACCTTATGTATGAAGTTATAAACTCCCTCTGTAAGATGTTACTAAAACATGTTTAAGACAAGACAGCCTAGGTAAAGGTGATACATAGGTCTGCCTGCCCAAGACAACGGAATATGGGTTTAACCTCGTTTTAAATATTAGCAGTAAACAAAGCTATCCAGCTAAACCAGCTGGGGTTATTTATCCTGTTCCTGAACTTGAGAGACAGAGAATTAACATGGCTCCTGCACCCCAATGAATCACAGAAGACTGAATTCCCAAGAGGGCTTCCTGACTTGTACGACAAAGAAATCCCTTTTGGGATATAAGAAACAGAGAGAGACACCCCCACCCCCGCTTTGTCCTTCACCTTAAAGAGACAAAGAAACCAAGTGGTTTGATTTCTGTGATGGGTCCTGGCAAACCCCACAAGTGAAAAGCTGGAAAGGAGACTGTGGGTGAGAGAGGCCATCTTGAACAAAACTGTATCTTGACAGATTAAGTTTTTGACTTTTAAATGCATGTTTCCACTTTTATTTGCTTGTAACCATCTCTACACTTAGCTCTTTTACTTGGTATCACTTAATCAATTCTCTTTTGTTAATAAACTTGTTTTACTTTTACTATAAACAAATTCTGTGCTGTGTTTGAGCAGAAGGGTGTATTTACCCCAGTAAATGAATAAGCTGTGATGTACTGACTCTTTAACAGAACAGCCATCTTAGTATCTTCTGTGAATATACAGTGATAGGGGCCATACACTGCAGAGAAACATCTCTGAGGAGCTTGGGGGCAGGAATTTACTGATTCTGACCTGCAAGGCTGTCTTGCTCGTGAGGAAGACAGACTGCTGGGGCAGGAACTGATACAAAGTGCAACTGCCAACGAAACTCACTCTTGCTGAGGCAGAGAGCTAGCACAAGTGGCTCATAAGCAGCATGTTACAGTGGTGTAGTTGGCAGGATTTACACACAGTTTATTGGGTAACTGAGATTCACACTTCTAGCACTGATAAACTGGTTTTAAATTATTCATACGTAAGACAGTTAGGACCATGGTGAGAGAGGTAACGGAGTGGCTCTTAGCTCTGGGTATCTCTAGCAATATGTTACAGTGTTTGATCCTGCAATCCTCGTTCACTAACACAAAATCCTATGGAATTTCAGGGAGACATAAGGAAATTAAAAGGACAGGATGTGGAAAACAAATAAGGAAAAATGCTTCAGAAAATGTATGGAAAATCTTATATTGAATTCAATAGAGTTACACTTGTATGAAATCAGTGTGGGAGCAGAGACGGGACCAGTGTGCTTAACTTAGGAATGACCAATATGTTGGGTTTCACATCTTTCTATCTCCAACCTTTTTTTACACCAAACAATCATGTCTTTTTTCTTTACAGGTTATCACTTTTTTTAAAAAAAAAACCCTGTATTTATTGATTTTCATTAGCTCCCACACAAAACCAAAAATCCCTTCCTCTAAAATATACTTTCAGACTGTGTATATCATATCAATACAATCCAAAACCACCACTCCATGCAACCTGTTTTCCATTTAACTGGTATAACATCTCACCTACTGCCAATAGACATGACTCTACGCTCATTTACACCAGCTTTCTTCTACTTCTAATTCCACTGACTTCAGTGGAGTTGCCTCTAGTTTACATCAGTATACATGAAAGCAGAGGCAGACCCACTGTACATTCCATAGAGAATCTTCATGCTCCTGAAACAAACAGTGCAGAGGTTACAAAACCTTGCTGCCATCTCTTTAGAATTGTATGCAACCTCTTATGAAGTAACTAAATGAAACAGCATTCTATTTTAATGAACAGTATTTTATCTTCACCATGCTAGCTGGAGATGCCTGGTATTTAGATGAACGAACCTGGAATAGCTTGCTACAAAGAGTTAACCAAAATGGGTCTGCTTCCCATATATTTTACAATATCAGTAGGACGACTCTGGCCCTGATTTTGATCTAATCTAGACTGCTGTAAATTTGGAGTTTCTGTACTGAAGCTAATGAATTTACTCCAGATCTACACTGGTCTGACTGAGATCAGAATCAGGATCTTGTTATTCCACAACAAGGAAGGTTTGTTTTAGTACATTCCTTTGTTTATCTGAACTACAGCTGAGAAGTGTAAACTGCTATAACACTAGTCAGTTCCGATCTTCATGCACGTGTCTGGGGGCTGTTAGGAGAGAAGAAGAATGTTTATTTTCCCCTTCAGAAGTTAGATCTCCTTTTGATTTCACTTCCTTAGGGACCCATTCCACATCCCTGGTGTCAGAAAGTGTTTATGCAGTGTTATACTATTCGTGCAATATCATTGCCTACAGGAACACAAAAGCACCTCTCTATATGAACTGGGTCATCCTTAAGGTTAAATTGCAAAATGGATCCAATAAAATCCTCTACAAAAGTCACTAGGCCCAGTAACAATTTGCCAACAGCTCTTATCCAGAGTTATCCATTAGTACAAGAATTACTCCTTGCCAGCAGCTACACCCTTAATTTCATTGACTGGATCTGATTTCTTCACTTTCTCTTCACTTTCACAGTTCTTTGTTCTCGAATCAAATGAATTTTTATCAGTCACTGCTCCCATGGCTTGCTTTCTGTATATTATTTTTTCTGATAAATCTTGGACTGCAGTCTTTAAAACTACCATGTCTTTTCTTAGTAGTCACCAGGTATAATTTACCTTATTCATTTTAAGGACTGGCTTTTAATTTAATTTTCCAGCAAGATCAGACCATTCTGTACATGTTTTTGTTCTGGACGGTATTTCAGAAGACATTCATTTAACAGCAGGATCTGCTTCAGGGGTTCGGCTGGGGCCTTCACTCCTAACAAAAGGGGCTATGAATGCATCATGGCAGGTGCAGGCTGTGAGCTTGAAAAAAATCCCTTACCTAGTGACCATTTTTGTAATTTGTTTGTTTTACAGTCTTAACACTCCCCTTTTTCTTTATTGTCCAGCCATGACATGTCTGTGAAAAGTTCCCTTCCCTGAGATGAGTTCTCCCAATCAGGAATCAATCAGCATGGGTGGGATATGAAATTTGACTTGCATATAAGCGTCCCCAGGTTGAGAGTCAGGCAGGTAGCAGTGAGCAAAATGAATTATTGGAGAAGGAGAGGATTTCAGGAGATAAGTTCACCTCCACGGAGAGGCATCTCAGAAAACAGTTTGAAGGGCCATAGGAAGATCGTGAAAACTACAGCTGATGGAAGTGAAATGAGACTGATCTGGTCTATTGCTGCCTCATTTTTCAATTCATGGTAAGCGTTCCCTAAATATGTCAATACCACCTGATTTTCTAAGAACAGCAAACACTGGCAAGTTTTAGTGTCACCTACTCTTTTTACTCTATTCACTTTTTTACTCAATGGGCCTGTCCAATATTGACCACTTTGTTTTCGAGCTTTACTTCCACTTGCTTCCATACCAATTTTCTTCACAGTCAAGCACATTTCTTTCCCTCATCCTCTGCCCTTCTTTTGCTTGCTACTATACAGCTTAATTTACTCCAGAAGAATCTTAGAGTCAAAACAAAGGGCTGCTGATTTAATTGGGGGATTCTGCCTACAATCTCATGGTGTAATATTTAACTTTATTTTTTGTTTTCAGCAGGCCTTCAAGATGTCATTCTTTTGTTCCATTTGCAAGCAACACTCAGAGAGCACCCACTCCGCGCAAAGCTCTTACCAATAAGCCCCGAGTAAGCGAGGAGGCAGTCAGCATAGTTTTCCTTCAGACAGCTACTAACAGACCGTGACTCAGGCTGGCAGTTTGTGAAAAAATCTGCAAGGCGAGATCTGCAACATGGTAAGAAAAAAAATGCATATCTTTAAAAATCAAGCCTCCAGGCAGCCTTACCTTTTGCACTTTTCTTTTTTTGTCAATATTTCATCTTCTTAAATACATACATAGAACACATTTAAACTGGTAAGATTCCCTTTTTAAATATGTCCCTGTCTGCTTTTGGAGTGTAGATCTGAGAAGGGTTAAGGTATGCAGTCAGCGAAGGACACTGCATGCAGAAATATACACTTTATACCAAAATGAGTGCTCTGCATTTCCCACCAAACACAAGCAAACAAGAGAATCCATCATGAAAGGGTTCATGTTTTGTGATTCCGAACTCTGATTAGAGAGCAGGAGTATGACATCTGGAAGAAAATCTTGTATTAAGAGAACACAGTATCTGCTAGAACAAGTGGTTCATTGATTATGTATGGAGTAACAGTACTGGAGAAAACATTTTGCCCTTGTAAAATGTGCACTTAGCAGAAGTCTACTGGATTGAGCTGAGGGCTTAGAGTAAGGAAACCTGAGTTCTGTTCATAGACCTGCTACTGAACTACCATGAGACCCTCACTTTGCCACTCTGGGAGGGAAGGATAGTCCACTGGGAGTTTCTTAGGTTATTACATATAAGGATATTTTTATAAATTATGTTTCAGGATATAGACTAAACTCTTGTGGGTAAGGAAAGCATACTGAGTCCGTGTGGCACAAAATCTTCACAATGTGGGCAGGGAACAAAGATTGTTCCACGAGTAGTATCTGGGTGTTAAAATACCTCCACAGATTTAAATGTCATTATTTATGTAAGTAGGCAAAACCCCCAAACAAAGGCTTTTTTTGAGCTGCAGGAGCACAGATTAGAGGCTTGAAAAACATTGGCAGGTGCCACAATGTTTAGAATAGTCCAGTTTTCCCTTGGACTACAAGGTGCATGGCTCCACAACTCACTTAACATGCTCTGTCATTGCCAAATGTTTTTAAGCTCCCATAACTAACCCCCTGGATGTAGCGACACTGGTCATTTACTGTACAGCCTGTTTAAAGAATTTATTTATTGTAGTAAACCGTTGAGGAGGCTCAGAAGTGCTCAACTGATCCCTAGTGCATACAGCTTGAATTCATGTTAATTTCTGGAGAATATTTGTGGTCATGAAAGTTAACAATCTAGAAGCATCGCACGTCTAAGTTTTCAAAGGCCAATTATAGTTCAGACAGCTGTGGTTCGAGCACCACTGCACTAGATTGCCAATAAATGTTCTCCCTGACCTGCAGGATCTTTCTGTCTCTCTCTAGAGACAAAAGTAATTGAGTTTCCATGCTGCCTTAGTTCTTAAACGCTCTTGAACAGACAACTAATTGTACCAAATACTGATGTGGATTACTTTCCAATGGAAACTAAGCTTAAGCCACCAAACTCGTTTTACTTATGATCTTAGCTTTGACACATATTTAGTCTCTAAATTTACGGATTATTTAAACCTGAGTCTACGGAGGAAAGAAAAGTCCTGTGACGTGTGAAATTAAAACCGAAGCCCAGATCCTCAACTGGGGAAAATTATTGTAACTCCATTCATTTCAGTTGATCAATGCTGATTTACACTAATTGAGGATCTGGCCCAAAATGTTCTCATCACTGTAAGACAGCTGACAGCATGGTCACCAGCTAGCCCAAACCAGTGATACAGCTCTTTAAATAAACTGAGATACAAAAATAACCTAGTCAATGACAACCAAAGCCCTGCCTAAAGCATAGTACATCATATTAAAACTCCTTTAGCAGAGATAACAACCCTTTTGGAAATGTTAATAATAAGCAATGGGTTAATACAAAAGATGTTTGACAACAGGTACTCTGAATATTATGTTAATTTCATATTCCTTCAGTATGGCAGTTCTAACCAGTTTTTGAGTAGGGACACTATTTGGTTAAGTGTCTTGCTAATTCTCTAGTATCTAGCTGAGAATTTTGATAATTTGGATAGTGAGTGACATTTGTAATATGAGTGTTTGTGTTTTAGTGTACATGACTATATTCATGCAGGATGTGTGTGTATATATGTATAGTGTATATAGGCAGTCACATGTATAATGTAAAATATATAACACAACCACATTCAAAACAATGAATTAATTTCCAGCGTCCAAATCACAAATCCTCCATGTGCATGCCTGTATTAATGATTTTTTCCTCTCCTTTGGCGTAAAAAAGGAATTGAGCATGCCACCAAAAAAATCACCTTCCAAGGAAGGAAAATAATCTCTCCTTTTTGTGGGGGAAAAAAATAAATTAAATGGTCCTATTGTAGCCATATGAAATCTCCTCAAAGTAAACTGCAGATCTTCAGAAAAGTGTACCTTAAATATTGTGCGTATTACTAACCAAATAAAATAAGAATGATCCTATTGATAAATCCTATACAAATCTGCTCAAAACAGTCTTTTGAAGGAAAAAATTCCCCCAAACGTGGTACTAGTAATAGCACTAGTAAAAATATTTGGAGCAGCCAAAAATATAGAAAGAACACAAGTTCAATTTTTCCTTTATGATCTTGATCTTTCAAATATTCTGAGGGATAAATGAATAAGCTTTGAAATATTGTTCAAAAAAAAGACCCCAAGGATTTTTTAAAATTAGTCTTGTACATAAAAACAAATTCTTCACATGGACTCACCTCATATTAGCATGCCCTGTTGCTTTAAGCAATATTAATTACACCTTTATACATTTCTTTTTGGAGTATTTTTAAAAAGCTCTTTGATGTTTTGAAATTATCTGAGGCAATTGCCACTTCATCCCTTTTTAAGGCTGGTTAATTGAACTATGGCATTGTTTGCACAGCTGTGGATATGTATGCCATTTATAAAATGAATACTGTACATTTAAAAGCAGTAAGGTTTTCGCTGTATTCAGTGAGTTATGTAAAACTTCTCTGCGTATTTCATTTTTTGGAGGCAAACCTCGGCCTACACGTGAATAGAGCACTGATGAAAAAAGGTCCAAGGCACTTGAAATTTGTGGGTTAGAAATACACTTATGGAAATGAACCATTTGAAAAGTTCTTAAAACTGTTGATGTGACTACTTAAAATATTCAAAAGCTGTCACAGTTGATCATCTGAAGCAATACTCTCTGTAATAAAGCAGGGACAGTCATGAGTGGCAGTAAGAAAAAGTATGGCAATGCATACTGGTGATCAAAGGGACAGCTATTGTCTAGCAGTTTTTAAACTCAGGGAAAAACTCCCAGTGACTTCACTGAGCCCAGGATGTCACCCAAAGGGTTTGGAGGAATGATATAGGAAAAAAATAACAGAAGGAATAAACCTGAGGTGAAACTGTGCCCCAGTGAAGTTAATGAGAGCTTTTCCATTGACTTAAATGGGACCAGAGTTTCATCCCCAAAAGGAGAGAGATTTGGAGAAGGGACCATGAAGTCTCATGGAAGTAGGAACTAAAGAAACGCAAGGCACTAGCTGTTGCTCAAAGAGATGCATGGAGAGGTTGTGAAGAAAAAGGGAGGGTCTTCATGACCAAAATGGACTGTTGAAGGCTCTAACCTTGAGTGTATATTATATATGTTTAGATATGTTTCACACACCCACTTAGAAGATAGTAATGTTTTCTCAGTTTTCCCCTTTAATGTATTATATGGATGAGGAATAAACTTTTTCAATTATCCATTAACTAACATGGTTTTCTATACTTTTTTGTGGGGGAGGGACATCCTAAAGGAGACCTTTATCCGATTATTTGTGCTTTGACGAAATCAAACATCTGAATAGGAGGAACTGACCAGAACAGGATACTATTAAGTCTCCAAAGGACTTAATTATTAATTATTATTCAGCATTTAGTAAATGTCCATCATGGTGCTTGGTGCTGCATAGTAAAAGAGAGTGAGGAACACTTCCTGGCACTGGAAATTTATCACTTTAGTTTTAATTCTAGTGAATTATTTTCACCCAGCATAGGAAAATTCTTTATTGCAGCTGATGTATTTCTACTACAGTAGCTCCTAGAGATCCTAACCCAGACTATAGTCTAATTATGCTAGGCACCGTACATACACAAAGCAAGAGACTGCCCTTCCTCCACAAAGAATTTACTTTTGAAGTAAACAAAACAAAGACTGGGGAAAGGAAGTACTATCTCATTGTACAGATGCGGAACTGAGAAATTCACTGCCTTGCCTAAAGCCATACACAGTGTCTGTTGCAGAGCAGAGAATTAAACACAGAGCTCCTGAGTCCTAGTCCAGCTTCCAAACTACAAAACCTTCCTCTCTCATGCTTTAACATTTACATCTTTAAATGACAACATGAGGCTGTCATAAATATAAAGGGAAGGGTAAACCCCTTTGAAATCCCTCCTGGCCAGGGGAAAGCTCCTCTCACCTGTAAAGGGTTAAGAAGCTAAAGGTAACCTCGCTGGCACCTGACCAAAATGACCAATGAGGAGACAAGATACTTTCAAAAGCTGGGAGGAGGGAGAAAAACAAAGGGTCTGTGTGTCTGTCTATATTCTGTCTTTGCCAGGGATAGACCAGGAATGGAGTCTTAGAACTTTTAGTAAGTAATCTAGCTAGGTACGTGTTAGACTATGATTTCTTTAAATGGCTGAGAAAAGAACTGTGCTGAATAGAATAACTATTTCTGTCTGTGTATCTTTTTTGTAACTTGAGGTTTTGCCTAGAGGGGTTCTCTATGTTTTGAATCTAATTACCCTGTAAGGTATCTACCATCCTGATTTTACAGGGGGGATTTCTTTATTTCTATTTACTTCTATTTTTATTAAAAGTCTTCTTGTAAGAAAACTGAATGCTTTTTCATTGTTCTCAGATCCAAGGGTTTGGGTCTGTGGTCACCTATGCAAATTGGTGAGGCTTTTTATCCAACATTTCCCAGGAAAGGGGGGGTGCAAGTGTTGGGAGGATTGTTCATTGTTCTTAAGATCCAAGGGTCTGGGTCTGTAGTCACCTAGGCAAATTGGTGAGGCTTTTTACCAAACC